GAATCATTCCCAACAAGTGTTGGCTGTATAAATAAATGAGTGAAGCACAGTAGTCAGAGGCTGATGCGATCTGTCTTCATGAAGTGCTTCGTTTGCTACCACAATTTGTACGCGTTAAACCACAAATCCTGTGATAACTACAGGCAAAAAYGGCACACTTTGCTTCCATGTTTTCAACCTCTTTGCCACTACAACCCCCCACATACGCAGCTTGTTCACCTACTCAAAAAAACAAAAGYTCATTCATGTCCACTGCTTGTGGTTCAAACATGGGAAAGTGTGTTTTCAATGAGACTTGGCTTCATATCAGTGATTTTTTTTCACTCAGTTGGAAACGGTCCACAGCAGTCGATATGAAGGTCTCATAGATATGACTATTTCATTAAAATAATTTAGTGTTCTTGTATTAAAATTAAATATTCTTTCATAGCTAAGTTGATAGCAATAAAAGGTTTCTATGTTAAAATTTTTGGGATCATTTGAATGTTTTTGTTAATCCGTCGGTTTGGTCTTAAGGATCATTCCTATTGGTCTTAAAAGGTCCTTTAAAAGGTCTTAAATTTAACTCACTGAAACATGCATGAACCCTGGCATTAACTGTGGCCCCCAGAGCAATTTAGCTGAATAGCCCTGAACTAGATCGAGTTTTTTTTTTTTGTTTTTTGTTTACTGACAGTTCTGGCTTGTTTCCCTGGATAAAGCCTAGTTGTTTTGTATCTGAGCATCTTTCCTGTTTGGTACCCGTGCAGTCTTGCGGAGACCGCACCATGAATCTCCACGACTACGGGATGCTGCTGCCTTGCGGCATCGACCGTTTCAGAGGAGTGGAGTTCGTGTGCTGCCCCACTGAGGCGGAACGCGACGCCGACAGCGCGGAGCAGGACACCGATGACTCTGACGTCTGGTGGGGCGGAGCGGAGGCAGACTACTCCGAAAACAGGTGGGCACCGCCACATGCCGATGACGTCATCTTCATTCTTCCTCCACTTCCTCCMCTTCATCTCCTCGCCCTTTTCCAGCATGGTGCGGGAGCCGGAGCCAGTCGTGCAGCAAGAAGAAGCCAAGCCATCTGCGGTAGTGGAGGACGAGGAGGTGCCTGAGGAAGATGAGGGAGGCGACGAYGAAGAGGAGGAGAACGAGGAGGTGCTGGACAACGACCAGGACGGGGACGGGCAAGAGGACGAAGAGGCGGATGAAGACGAGGAGGAGGAGGACGACGACGCAGTTGACATCGATACGCTTGATGACGGCGACGACGAGCTCACCACCAACGTGGCCATGACGACAACCACAACCACCACCACAGAGTCTGTGGAGGAAGTGGTCAAGGGTGAGCGTTTCTTTTTTTGTTTGTTTAATCTTTGTGATTTTTRTTCTTCTGTATGAGTTTTTCCCTCCAGATCGAACCTTGTTGGAACATCAGAAACAGACTCATCAGACGTTCCTTTGCAGATTAATATAAAACAATATTTCCAGAACAACACGCGGCTCACTTTTCTACGCTTTGCCAAACACAGTCATTAATTTCCAGCTGTCATTTTTCTCATTGTGCTCATTTATCATCTCGCAGCTTTCATTAGACACGTTCCATTAGAGGCAGAATGAGTTAGTTCTTCATTTTTGTGTTAAATTGGCTGAAATTCATTTCCGWGCAGCATCAGTGATGGTTTAACTTTTTTTTTTTTTTTTCATGTCATGTCCTTGAATTGAAGTGGCACGTTTCGCAGTGCTGATGTCACTTTTAGATGATGACCGAGGAGCTAAAGGGAGGTTGTGTGYTGTTTTGTGACGAGCCAGTGTGTGTGTTTTCTAAGATGTGTGCTGGGCCGACGCAGAGACCGGTCCGTGTCGGGCCATGCTGCCCCGCTGGTACTTTGACCGACAGGAGGGTCGCTGTGTTCGRTTCATCTACGGCGGCTGCGGAGGCAACAGGAATAACTTTGAGTCGGAGGAGTACTGCCTGGCTGTCTGCCGCAGCGTCAGTAAGTCCTGCCGACGGCTGCCAGCCTCCACCAGTTTGATTTCTCTTAAGCCTGCCGTCTGTTCGCTGGCTGCTCTGAGTGTCTCCTCTTCCTGTCAGCTGCATTTCTGGCTAACATGTAATTAAAGCCAAACCGCCTCTCTTTATTCTTCCCACAATGCTTTGAACTCTGGCTGTTTTCACTCCTTTTGCTTTTTTACTTTAAAACCAAGACGTCAGAAATAATCAGGTATTTCTTACTTGTGTGTCATAATGTGTTAATTTTTATTCTTCTGAACTTCACTTCAGCAGCAGTCACTGTTGGCTAAAAAAAGAGGTTTTATTTCACAAGCCTTTTAAAGAGATCCCTGATTAGTTTAACATTAGACTTTATTTGATAAACTTTTATTTTTAACTGTAAAATAAAGACTGTAAAAATACTGTAGGATGTTTAGTTTTGTACATTTTTAAAAATATATTTAACACGGACGGAGCCATTTTATTAACACACAAAGCATTCTGGGTCAATGATGACATGGATAGGTACCGGTGTGAGCGAGCTAAATCCACCCTGAAGGTTAATCTTGGACAATATCTGATGATCGACTCTTTTAAATGAAACCAGAGAGCGTTGACAGAGAGGA